CTGGACAAGGCCGCGGGGGGGGCTGGGGGGGGGGGGGCTTGGCTGTGGGCTTTGGGTCCCCCTCCGTGGTCTTCCTCTGGGTTTCGTGGCTGCAATGTGGGCAAAGTCAAGCTGCGGCAGAACCGACAGGAAGACTGCGCCAGGTGCCAGGCAGGGCGGGCCAAGGAAGAGGGGCGGCCGGGAGGGGGGGCCCCAGTCTGCTTCAGGGGACATGGCTGGAGGCTCACGGCTGTCTTCTCGTCTCCCCCCCCCACCCTCCTGCCTCCACAGCCGCTGAGAGTCAAGATCCCGGAGCAGGTACTGGCTGAAATAGGTGAGTCCGTCTCTGGGCAGGGGCTGTTTCCCCTAAGGGAGGGCGTTGGTGGCCTGCCGTGGCCTCTCGGTGTCCCCCTCCTGCCTCAGCAGCTCCTTCGGGGGGGACTCACCCTGGCTCCATTTCCCCAGTAGGGAGTCCTCGCACCTCCCCCCCCATGCTCAAGAAGGGGTTTGGTGCACAGAAAGGTCCCCTCAGTTTGATTCCAGCCGGGAGTGAAATCCCGTCCGCCGCTGCACCGCCTGTACAGCCTACACCCACCTCAGGAAGGCGCCGCTCGGATCGGGAGCCCCCAAGCAGCCCTGAGCAGTCCCGAGGCATCTTGAAGGGCCCCCCTTTTCGCTCTGCAGGTGCTGTGCTTGAGGGGCCACCCAGCGAATCCGCCTGCCTCTCGGGCGCCTCCTCACCCCTCCATTTGGCTCTTTCAGACGCTCGCGTGCGGAACGGAGAAGATGCCCGAAGCGCCTTCTTGGAGGCCCAAGAGGTGGTCATGATGGAGATCCAGGAGCAGATCCAGGACTACAGGTGAGCTCGGGCCATTTGGAAGGCTTTCCTCTCCTCTCCCTTCCCTTCCCTTCCCTTGTGGCTGCTTGGGGAGGGTCATTGTGTCGGGGGACTGGGGGGCGGTGGTGGTGGAAGAGCCTGCGGGTGACGGGCAGGTCCCTCCGTGTGCTTGCAGGACGAAGCGCCTCCCCTCCTCTCCCTTCCCTTCCCTTCCCTTCCCTTGTGGCTGCTTGGGGAGGGTCATTGTGTCATTGGGACTGGGGGGCGGGTGGTGGTGGACGAGCCTGCGGGTGACGGGCAGGTCCCTCCGTGTGCTTGCAGGACGAAGCGCACTATGGGGCTGGGCAGCCTCTATGGGGAGAACGACCTGGCGGAGCTGGACGGAGATCCCCAGAGAGAGCGCCAGGTGGCGGAGAAGCAGATCGCTCACCTTGGGGACATCCTGTGAGTGCACGGGCGAGGGCGGACGAGATGGGCGGGTTGTTTTAGGATGGCTCCAAGCTTCCCTGCATAGGGGCCGGGCGGATTTCAGGCAGGAGATGGTTCCAAAGGTGAGGGGCGACCGCCGAGAAGCTTTGCCACCTTCAGGGGGAATTTCCAGGATCTTGGCCCAGAACTGCACAAGAGGAGCCCTTCGTGGCGCCCTTCGTGGCGCCCTTGGCAGCTCTCGGGGCACCTTGCCAGAATGAAGATGAGGATGATGATGTCTCCCCCAGAGTGCCAGGGTTCATCAGCCTGTGCTTTGCAGTCCAGGGAGAACCAGGGCCCTTCCGTTGAGTCTCAGAGGCAGGCTGTGTACCAGAGATAAGCAAGGACGGGACAGGATCTGACCCCCCTCCTCTTCCTTCTCCTTTCCTGTTTCAGGTCCAAATACGAAGAGGACCGGAGGTGAGGCTCTTCTCTTGAACGTTGCACCTGGGGCCTCCTTCTGCCCAGTGGCAGGGGGTGGGGGTGGTTCACTGGGTCAGGCCAGCTTCGAGGAGGACGAGGAGGACGAGGGAGTCCTTCTAGCGCTCGGTGGTCCTTGGGTTTTGCTGATTTGATGTGTTGGCCTTTCCAGGGGATCTCGCTTAGTTTCTGCCTTTTTTTGCCTACACATGTGCGTATGTCACGATCTGCTTTCTTGGCAGAGAAGGGGCTGAGGGTCCTTTGGGGGGGGGAACGGGCGGGGGGGCAGATTCGAGCCCCTGGTGCATCTCCTTCGGGTGGAGGTTGAGGGCGACGGCCTGGCCCGGCCTAGCCGGGATGGTTCAGCACCACGGAGAGCTCCCCCAGGAGGCCGGCTGTTGCTCTCCAGCTTGTACCTCTTGGTCAGCCTTCTTCCGTGGGGGGCCTGGCCCTGCTTGCTGGGGGCCTTATCGACGTGGTGTCAGAGGCGGGGGCTCAGAATACCTTGCGATCCAGGCCATGGGACGCAGGCGTGATAGAGCAGCGCCCTGCCCCAAGCAACCAGGAGGATCCTCGTGGACAGAGAAGGGGCCCGTCAGCACGAGTGGGCCACGAGGGGCCTTCTCCGTCCCCTGCCGAGGTTCTGCACAGTTTTCTGAGAGCTGCTCCAGGATTCTGTCGTGGCTTTCTGCTGCAAAGGGGGCTTCGTGGCCTCTCTTACGTCCGAGGGTGATCCCCCTGACGGGGCTGTTGCCTTCTCTCTTTCTCCCCTCCCTCTCTAGCGCCCCCATGAGCTTTGCCTTGAACACCTACATGAGCCACGTGGGGCTCCGGCCACGTGAGACCCGACCGGTCAGTGTGGTGGAGAAGGCTCAGGAGAAGGACAAGTGGCTTCCCTTCTTCCCAAA